ATTCTTTTATCAAATTAACTTATTTTAATTAGTTACTATATTTTAAAATTGTATTTTCGAAAAATATATAAATAGAGATGTTGTCTAAGTCTTAACTCGACATGTTGTAATTGAAAATAAAAATCTTTCTTAACAAAAACCTTCTTCCAAATACTTCCTGTCTCTCATATTTTCTTTATACACTTCAAATCTTGTGTATAAGTGATCTTATATCATATTGAACCTATCAAATCGTTGACAGCTTTATATCATATTGCATCAAGCAAATCATTGTTATTAACTTTGGGCTTTATATCGTATTGTGCTGAACAAATCACTGTTATTGAATTATTGAGCTTTATATCGTATTGTGCTGAACAAATCGCTGTATTGAAATTGTTGAAATTGGATTTATAAGTATTTTACTTTTTGTTATTTGAATTTTTAATTATTAACAAATATCCCTTACTCATGAAAAGAACAAAGTGAAAGAGTCTTTGCTATTGTTATTACTAATTATATTACCTCAGTTCCAGAAAGCTTTATGCAAGTATAGAATCACTCTTCAAATCCCTTTTATTATTTCTTTATTTTCTCTTCTCTCTGATCTTTACTCTCTCACAACTCTCCCATATTATTATTTCTTTATTTTCTCTCCTCTCTGATCTTTACTCTCCTACAACTCTCCCACATTATTATTTCTTTTTAAGTAAACACAATTTCCGTAGAAATTGACATAGGTCTTAGATACTTTTCTTTTCTTTTTAATATTTTTTTATTAGTTTATACTCTCTCCCAATCCAGGTTCTTGTTTGTAAGCTAATTTAATAATTAGTGAACAAACTTGTAACAGTATGTTAGTATAAAATTTCAAAATTCAGAAAGCAATAATGAACTCATAAGATAAATCTTATAAGTAGAACTGGATTCATAACTTGCTAAAAGTGTTTCTTGTGATCTTTAATCAGAAGTATTTGATTCAGAAACAGCTAAAAACAACTTCCTTTAACTCGCAAAGATAGTTCTTTTTGTAATCAAGACTAGATCTTAATATTACTGGAAAGTACGTAATGTACACCTAAATTGCAAAAAGAAAAAATTCATTGATCATGCAATAGCATATTTTGATTGTACACAATATGAGAATCATCAATAATAAAGATCCAAAAATTAACTAGTAAAGTATATAAGTGAAGTCAGAACTCCAATAAATAGATACGCTTGTGAGAGAAATATTATACTTATTATCAACCCTCAATAGTATCATGTTCTAGTTCAAGTTTAGCACCTAGAAGCTCATTTATATCCTCAGCATCAAAGAATCCAGTTTCCTATAAAGGCAAAAGAATGGATCAAAGAAAATATCAAATACAATATTTGAAATTATGAGTTTTATAGACGTCTTTGTAATGAGGAGCTTATCAATTTTGAGGTACACACGAGATAGCAAGTGTATTATTGGATGTCTGTTTTTAGTAAGGAGATATATATAATAGATGCTAAAAATTAGTTCATATCAGCAAAGTCTTATATTAAACAACCTGAATTTGTGGTAAAAGGTTTTAAAATTATTTGCTACTTTGAAAATGATTTTGTGAAGGCTCTCAAATTTGTAACACCATTGCTCAATCATATTGGCATTAAAAACATAAATGAGATTGTTATAAATTCTATGTTTAAAACTAATTAAGAGCACTTCAAGCTCTTTGTCATAAATACCAATTATGGTGAGTATGATATACCTTTAGCATACTTATATCTTTTAATATTTGGTGATATTGAACAAGCACGTCACAATTCTGAGAATCAAATCAACACGAGAGTACAAGTTCTCTGTGAATTTTTTATTAGTTTTTGAAAAATGAACCTACTGCCAGTATTTTGTCTAGTTGACAAAGATGCCAGAGAAATCTCAGCTGTGAGTGAGGCATGATCAGATATCATTAACCTTTAGCTATTTTATTGGCATTTTGAGTATGATATTAGCAGACAGTTAAAGAATAAGAAATCAAAAGCAAGTGTATACATTGTAGCGAAAGCTTCAGAGATTCACAAACAGTTTGATTTCATTAACTCTTCCTGGATACTGAATCAAAATATTAGAAATCTATGTTCAGAAAATTCTATCAAAGAACTCTTGAATACAGTAAAAAATACGTGAATATGTATCTACTCATGCCAATAGCCAAGAATATTTTCTGGAACTTTGTTGAAATCTACTGAGACTGTGTGAAGAAATTTATCAGTTTTGCTACAACCATAATCTTGCTGAATTGTAGGAATACCTATGAATAAACTGGTACAATAAAAAAGACTGAAAGCTTTTTTCTTGGTCAGCATATCCAGCTGTCATACTATTAGTATGAATTATCATGATTACGAAAAGTTATTGACAGATTTTTAAATTTAACTATAAATATAATTATAATTGACTATGTCTAAACCATCTTATCCAGATTCTTGTGGAACAATTAATACCTAATTTTAATCTCAAAATGAATCAATTTAAAGGAAATTGAATATTTTTATTGTAATGGAATGGTTTTAAAATAAATTGGAGGAAAGCAGTAACCATGAAAATCCAGCCTGACATGGATAAAATCTATCATATTGACGTAAATAACTGTGTGTGTTCTTGTCCAGTATATCTTTGTAGCCATTACCTTATCTGCAAGCATTTTGTTGCAAAGAAGAGTATATTAATTTCTGATCTACCTTCTCAGAAATAACGCGTTAGCATAATTATCCTTTATTTACTTTTGGAAAAGATAAAATACTAGTGATCAATTCAGTAAGTAATCCCTGATCTTGATATAGAATGAATAATCTTGATAGAGAAAGTGATAACTTACAAAATGCATTAATAACTGAGCTTGTTGAAGAAGGGAGCTTGAGTATTGTTAACTTATCAACAATTAATCTTGTTGAAGAAGAGAGCTCGAGTATTATCAACTTATCAACAATTATAAGATATAATACAATTAATGAAAGATGAGAAAAGATTGCTTCTTATAAAAAAACTATAAAAACTACGTTTACCTTATATGAATGAGAAATAGATAATGATCACTTTGTAGATATCTTTAACAGCTTGTTGAAGCCAATAGTAAAAGTGGTTAATGAGTATCAGGAGACACTACAAGCCCATAATCAACAAGAAACTGAAAAATCGAAAGGAAAAAAACTCGCATTTTGGTTACGTTAATTCTTTAGAAAAAAAGAAATATATTATAAAATAATAGACAATAAAATTTTGCTAATTTGTTAAATTCAAGTCTTTTTATTGTAATAAAGCTAATAATAAAGCTATTATTTTCTTGTCAAATTGTAAAGATAAAATTTGATTGGTTAATTAAAGATCTGCAAAGTGTATCATTATATCAATATCAGTCGTAATAATGTGATACAGCCAAGTGCTGGATATTGATCAGAAAATCATGTGACTGATACTTTTTTTTGCCATGGCTAGGATACTACTTTTCGCATTATTGACATCATCAAAAAATTATCATATGGTCCGGGTGATATCCATTCTAATCCTAATCCTAACGCTAAAATTAACCTTTAATATCCTCAACCAATCAGAACTTGAGCCACTATATGTATTTAACTCTCTAAATGCACACTCTCTCTAAGTGTAGTATTCTAGCCATGGCAAAAAAAAGCATGATGCATGTGATCTAAAATAAGTCTATTAAAATATTAGATTAATATTAAATATCAATTATTAGAGTTAGGATTAGAGCTAATATTAAGCTTATATATAAAACTATCTTTTTGACATTTTTTGATAGTGTGCCAAGCTAGATCTAGACATCTGTTTTTTCTTTTTTGATCAAAAATTTGCTACATTTCTATTGGTTGCGCATGATCCCGGGGGGGGGGGTGCACTTAGAGATAATGTTGTACATGGAACATTGTGAACAGATTTCGGACATTGTGTAACCAACTTTGATGTCGAATTACGCGAAATTTTATTAAGACAAGTTGTCTTGAACTACTAATTAAAGTTGTTCACAATTGATTTTTGCATATATCTACAAAGTTTCGATATATATTTATATGTAACACAAGAGTACGGACGTCCGCGGACCGGACGCGGACATCTCAAAAAAGTCGCGGACATTCAAAATGTACAACACTGCTTAGAGAGGTTTCACTGTAATAATTTTCCCTATCAAATCACCCCATATCGATATGATGAAATATGGGGTGCATTTTTTTTATTTTAGATAAATAGCTTCTTTCATTAAGAATGAAATGGCAAAACTAATTGCTACTGTAATTGGTATTCTCACGTCCTCTATCTTATTACATCATTTACAAAATGACATTGACGGTAATACACTGAAACTACGGAAAAAACTAAAAAACACGCAGGATCGGTTGGAGACTGCGTTGCCAGGTACCTGGCGGATAAAGTCACAAGAGGTAACTATTTTATATTTAATTTATTGAAAACAGAAAAAATCGGTGTCAAACTAACTATTGTTGTATCTGCCGCAAATTATCTAATTCTTTAATTATCAGTATCCATCATTCAAAACAACTCCAAATCAACGAGCAAAACTTCCGATCCCAACATTAACACAAACACTAAATCACATTGAAAACCGGTTCATTCCGACGTTCAAAGCGACATGGAATGATCATATTATTAGATTCACGAAACTTGTTAATGAGATTGATGTGCAGGATTCGATAAAATCTGTTACGTCGGATAGATGGGATAAATGGCAGAAGTCTAGTCAAAAAAAGTGAATTGAGCGTTTCATAAGGTAAAATACTTGGTTCTGTTGGTTTTTTTTTTTTAAGTTTTATTCAAATTAAATACCATATTGTTTTTATTAGACAATTATTAAATACATTTTAAGAGTAAGACAACAATGATGGATCATATTAATGAATAGATTATCTGTAGCATTCGAAAGGTAGAGTGACGATGCTTTCAAATTCATAACAATTTTGCATGTTTTTTTCATCGTCTTTGTTAATTTAATCTATTTCATGCAATCTTGTTTCCCTGGACCCAATTATTACTTATTTAATTATGGCTTAATTCCTGTACTATTTTTTTGAGAATACACTAATTCGCATCTATTATCATTATACATAAAAATACACGTATTCGTAATGTGCCTCTGTCATTGTTGCCGGCCAAATTAAGATCTCCCTCAATGATGTGATCCGTATACAAATTGATTCTATGAATTTTGGGACTTGCAGGCATTTTTGTTAAAATGCAAAATTTTAGGTAATTCGGATTACAACATTCAAGAAATGAGATGTCTTTATTTGGCCTTTTATATTAGGATTCATTTTTTTGACAGCGAGTCCGAACAATTGGTATACTTTTTAAGCTCTTTGTCTTGTGCCTGTTGCTGCTCACGTTCCTAATTTTTGAATCAAATACACTTGGATTTCACGATTTGAATTCAATACGTGTGGCCTATCTTACTATGTCAATGTGCATATAGCCATATGGCTCTATCAAAAAAAAACGTCTCTTTGTTATTTACGGGCGCAATAAGCGAGATCTCTATCCAGAAAATAAAGAGATGGGAATGGACGAAGAATAATTATTGAACATTCATATGATCAAACATATTTTTGATGAATACATAATACAGAAATTTACCGAGAACCAAAGGCTCGGATTCTATGTTCAAGTTGGTTCAAAGTTTTCTTAAAAGCCCGGCCATTTCGTTTGACTATACAAAATGCATTGATAAAGACCCAGAATAAGTTCTTCCAAAATACTACTATTATTATTAAGTGTGCTCATAATCGTCTCACTAATATAATAATTCGCTAGGATCTCGAGCTTTTATTACGATATAATTCGGCATGAGATCAGTTTGCTGATTTTACAAAATAAAGTTCTGGGAACAAATCAAATTCGATTTCATATAATTAGTATATAATGTATCACGGATTCTCCACAAGCTCGATTTGATAAACCGAAAAGATTTAATATATTTATTTTGGTCTGTCGAAGGTGAAATATTTATTCATATTTTCGCATAATAGATTTATGTAAAAATAGGTACCTAGAAAATTACGAAGAGGACTACATCGCAAAAAAAATCCTTGATGTTATCACTGGTCAGCACCTGATAATCGTTTTTTATTGAAAGCTAAGCATGAACATCAGATCGACGTGTGGTTTCAGCAAAGTCTTTTTCCTTATCTATTATTGCTATCAATGATATTAATATTGATATTAAAATCGTACAGAATGAAATGACAAGTCTCGTTTTATGGTAAGAGTAATGCGGGATTCAACACACCATATAATAATAACAAAAATCGAATTAGCGAGAATATTCGAGACCGTTGAATTCACACGAGAAATGTTTTTTATTGAATTTGTTTTTCGTCACATTAAATTATTTACATGAAAGAGTTGTCGATGTTCAAAGAATGTTCTCACCCTCTTCTGACGTAAAAATCATTTCTTCATTTCACAATCTGATACATTGAAATCTCCTGTTGCGGCCAATGTTTCGACGCACTTTTACTTGTCCCCACCCCACTTGTCCCACCATAATATCCACTATCCTCTATCACAGCCAAATCATCCTCGAGAAAATACTCTGAACTCTCTTTATCGGAACTTCCGCTTACCGTTTCTATTTCTGATTTCTCGACCATTCGCCCTTTGCCGGCGGCGTTTCGTGCAGCCTCCATTGTTTTATTGTATAGCCACCATGTAGCAATGAAGAATAGGATGAGACCTTATGGATTTTTTATTGTCAAGATTAATTTTTATTATAATAATTGAGTGATTGTGAATTATAAAGATTCAAATACCTATTCCAATCGAAAGATAATTTATTAGTCGAGATGTGGAGTCCAGTTCATTAGTCAAATTAGCTAATCGGGATCCAATAAACACGTGAATCAGTAATTTCGGCATTGTAAGTATTGTGGCCAGTGTGAATTTCCAAAGGCTGACGGAGCGGATACTGGCAAAGAATGCATTTGAATAGGTTATAGGAAACGGACTAAGACGTATCAGGAAAATAATCTGTAAAAATAAAATTACAATTGACGATTAGAATCACGAAGCGGATAACACACAAACAGAAATAAAAATAACAACCTAATTTTTCACCTTGAATCCTTCATGATGTATTGCGACTGCCAACGCGGCAAACCTTCGATCTTGTCCAACTAATTTATCAGTATAATTTTTACACATTGATCGAAAAAGTCTGGAAATTTTATATGTAATTTTATTTATATTCATTTTATATTGCACAAAAAAAACTAAAAAAGATTAGAAAAATTTGTCTGTAGGTTAGATCAAAGCTCTAGTGTACTTATATCTTGAATTTTTTTTGATCAATTAGCGTTAATTACTTATTGAAACTATTAATTATATAATATTATGACTTACCCGAAACAAGTCATCGATCCAATCAGCGCACCACATAAAGCTGGTGCGAATCCCAACGGAAATCCATAAATAAAACCACTTAGCATGATTAGCGAGCTATACCTAATCAAGGATTAATTTTCATTTTAATTTTAATTTTAATTTTGAGAGACGTGTAAAAAATAAATTAATAACAATTACCCTGGTAACGGCGGAAAACAAGTGACTATAATAAGAGACGTGAGCATTAAGTAGCCATACTGTAATTCTCGAACTTGTTGTGCGAACGGTGCTAGAGCTGTATTTTTTTATTTATTTAATAATTTATTTCCTTTACTTAGCACATAAGGTATTACTTAACAAAATACCTGTTAATATCGGTTTCTCAAAAACAAAAAATAAGACGGTGAATGTTATAAACAATATAGACAGTAGGAGCAACACGAATCTTCGTTTTGGTGGTAAGTCCGTCACAAAATCTATGATTGCGGTGAATATGTTTAACATTATTTTTTTGTTTGCGGAAATAAAAAACGAAAATGCATGTATATGCTGGTTATACATATTATACTATATATATAATATGAATTTAAATCTTCCCCCCCCAAAAAAAGCATAGTCTCTTACTAAAGCTGGCTAAAAGCTGCTATTATGTAATTCTCGCATGTGTGACGTAAATGTAATGTGGTGGCTTGGAAATTTCGAGGCTTTGTGAAATTGAAAAAAAGGAAACAATCAAGCTATATGGCTTAACACAGTCTGTGTTGGTTTGAACTAAGTGATTGATATTCCCAAAAAAAAATACATAAATACGACTTGAAAATGTATTAATGGAACATGCTACCAGCCTTTGCAATTCACTTTGCAATTAAATATGGTGCGTCCAGCTTAGTCATATCAAAGATGCTGAAAATTTTGCAGATCGTTACCTATAAAATTGAATATGATTGATCAGATTTATTATAAGCTTATTTTTTTATATTAATGCTGAAATTTTTAAAAAATGCATTATTTAAAATTGTATCTTCTCAATAAAGAAATAAACTTTAAAATAAAATATATTACTTGATAGTACTCAAAAACTATTAAATGATATATTTTTTTATATTTAAAGTTCATATAAAAATTCTTTGCAATTAAAAATATTTGATGTAATTAAGCTAAACACACCATACAGTCAACACGGAAAGTAATGGCGGTCATGTTTTTCGCCGAAATTCATCGATATCTTAACAAGGAATTACTCAAATATCGTAAATATTTGGCATTATATTTTTTAGGATGACGGAAACAAAATTTTCTAAGGTCACAAAGCATGTTAACATAGTAATATTTTGCGAAATCACGTGTCAAAGATGGCGGGCCCAGGAGCTACCCTAGTTAAAGAGCTATAAAAAATTATTTATAAATATTTTTTATAAGTAAGTATGATTTTTTTTAAATTACAAATATATTTTCTATATCTTTAAATATATTTTTATAAAATTATTTTCATACTTGCTTATAAAAAATATTTTTAAATAAGTTTTTATAGCACTTTAACCAGAATAATTCCCAGCCTATCATCTTTAACATGTGATTTCACAAATATTATTATATTAATACATTTTGTGATCTTAGAAAATTTTGTTTATGTCATCCTAAAGAATATAATGCCAAATTTTTGTGAATTTTTAGCAATTTCTTATTAAGTTATAAACAAAAAACATGTCTGCTATTACTTTTTATGTTAACTGTATAATTAGAAAATAACAATATCATTTAGAGAAGCATCAAGTATCAGATGATTTTTATTTATTAGAAAGATATTCTATTTATTTTCTATTTAATCAAAATAAGTCACAATATATTATAATTTTTTAAGAATTATCTGATATTTGACATTCTTCTTACAAACTATAATTATTACTTATTAAGTAATTATAATCTCAATTATAAAATTTTTTTATTCATATAATCAATTAGTTAAAATAAAATTATAATTAATTAAAAATTATTTCAAATTGATATAGACAAAAATTTAAAGCAAATTTATTAATCAAAAATTTTATTTCAAAAAATAAATAAAATTAATTATATATTTTATATAATTTAGCTAATATATTATAATTTTTTATAGTGCTATCATGAGTTCTGAACTCAAATAGATATTCTCGTGACATGAATATTCAATTAACATCTATTATAATTTATTTATTTATTTACTAATCTCAATCTAATTGTATTAGAATTAATGTACAGTATATCTTCTTTTATTCTATTAAAATAAAACAGGATATTATTATTATTAATAAATATCTTTATTTTATATTTACTTAGTATATAAACAATTTTATAATAATATAGTATTAATATTTTATAGCAATCTGATTAAATATTCAATAGTATATAATAAAAATAAATAGTAATATAATTATAATCTAATTAAACTATAATTATATCACTTAGTACAGACTATAATCCACCTGAGAATGACATGCATTTTGTTTTTTACAACACTGAGATGGGATAGTTATAATTTATATATTGGATGCTATATAGATTACATTTGTATTGCTGATTGAGAATCGCTGAGACATGCGTCAGTATGATGTGCGTTTTGTATTTTAGGTTACACTTGAGTGATGTGCATTTTGCTTTTTACGACATGCATTAAGATGATATATTTTGTATATCAAGTCACATATAATATAATGTATACTAGTTTGATAACTGTGACTGATTTTCATTACTGGATTATATGAGCAAAAAAAATATATATCTAACATTGTCAGTATCATGATGACAGAAATACATTCAGTCATATATTGTCATTTGTGAATCTGATATGAGAGCTATACTTGAACTGGATATGTAGTGCTCTAGTTTTCTAGTTAATTTCTTGATGAGAGCCAGATTTGAAACACATAATGTTAAAATAGTATTTGTATTCTAGCTTTGTATAATGCACTCAAATATCGATCGAGGATAAGACATGTAGTATTGAATTGTTAACATATCTGATAATATACCAAAGCACCTGATAATGAGATATATAGTGCTAAATTGTTAACATATCTGATAATATATCAAAACATTTGATGATGAGGCATGTAGTGTTGAATTATTATCATATCTGTTAATACTTCAAAGTATAATTTTATATATTATATATCTTTCTGTAATAATTATATCTTGGAGTATCACTTTTTTTTGATACCTATTTATATATAATTCCAAAGCATAATTTTATATATTATACATCTTTCTATAATAATTATATCTTGAAATATCATCTTTTTTTAGTATTTAGCTGGCTTATATTGATATCTAAATTGTAATTTTTATATATTTTAAAATATCATTATATCAAAAACTTTGAGATAATATTATAGAAAACTTTGAAATAACACTATATCAAAAACTTTGAGATAACATTATAAAAAACTTTGGAATAACACTATATTGAAAACTTTGAGATATTACTATATCAAAAACTTTGAAATATTATTATCAAACATGTATCAAAAAATATGAATATTATTTATAATCAGAAAATGAAATCTGAAATATCACTAATTTGAAAACTTTGGAATATCACTTTTTTCGATACCTTGAAGTATCATTTTTATTGATACCTAAATTAGGTAATACAAAAATGATTATTGAATATGTATTTTATATATTAGAAGTACTTACCTGAAATTTATCTTAATCAAAATTGTGCAACACAAAAATTTTCTTTATATAATCTAAATATTAAAGTATTAATTTTTTTTCACATTTATTTGTAAAAAACAATAAAAATTCTCTTATCTGAGATGAATAACTAGTTAAATATAGCAATTTCTCTGCTTCAGAAATTACTATTTAACTAGATTGTATTATCTTAAATAATAGTTATGCATATTCAATGAGGGCTAAAGAGTGAGTTTTTAATTTTTTTTGTATGAAGTAGTAGGAATCTTTATTTTAGTCTTAAACTTCTGCTTATAATCTAAGAAATCCATCTCACTCATATTTTCATGCTCTTTTTTCTCTCAAGTTTGAAAAAAAATGATACTTCAAAGTATAATTAACTAAAATATCTAAAAATTCTAATACTAAATTATCCAACCCACATATTCTGTAACTAATTACTTTTTTTATTGCAGAGCAATGATTCTTTAATATGAGCCAGTTAAAATACTGAGCCTACCTATATTCTATATACATCTCAATACTATGAATTACATAACTGCAATAATTAATAGAATAAGAAAAATATATGTGACATTAAAGTACTTGCTACAATAGGGATCGCTCCTATTCCTCCTATTGGAAGAGGCAAAGTCTCAAGATCAGGTTTCATCTGAGAATGTGATTTAATCAAAAAGGAATTGTGATTTTCTGGCTGTACAAGATAGGGGATGGTCACATTCTTTATTTCTTGAACTGGTAATATATTTTCATTTACCTCAAAGTTGATCTTTGTATCAATTTTTGGTAGTTCAGTAATCTTATTATTAGTAAAGCAAGTATCAAAGGTGCTAGTTTGTGTCGAGATATTATTATTAATTTTTTCAGCTTGATCTATACTTTTTTCATATACAAAATACTTACTTAGATTTTTGCTAGGTTCACTAAATATATAAGTGTCATAATTCAAAGAAGAGATAGAGTCTCGAATTTCTGATTTATCACTTAATGGCCTGCTTTACAATACTGCAGATATATTATTAGACTTGATTATGGAACTTTGTTCCTTGCTCTGTATATTTTTTTCAATATTCCCACTGATTACAGATTTTGATATAGTCTCCAATTTCAGATGCTCAAGCTCACTAATCTTTAAAATCAATTCATTTTTTAAATTTGTCAATTCAGACTTGAGAGACATGATCTCAGATTCTTTTTTTGATGAGTCATTTTGAATTGAAATTACATCTTTCTGGACTGAAGATAACTTACCTTCCAATATCTTAACCATAGACTCAAGTGATCTAATTTTCTTGAATTTATTCTGAGTTGAAGATAGTTTCACTTTCAATATTTTTATTTTAGACTGAAGATCTTTTATTATAATTTTAGATTCATTAAGAAAAATAACTTTGTGAGTAATCTGAGATATTAAACTATTTATCTCTGAACTCAATCATTTAATCTCCTTTATAAGCTGATAGACATGCTTGGAGAGTTTCTCTTTATCTTTATTAAATTGTTTTAGATTGAGTTATATATGCTTATTATCTTTATCTAAAACAGAACATTTATTGACAAGTCGATTGCTATACTCTATAGCAATTTCTTGATCTTGATTTGCACAAACAAGCTAATTTTTAAGTTCTACTTGATTAGATAAATATTGATTAAATGATATACTCACTAATTTACTGCCTTTCTTTATATCTAATAATATATAAATTTGAGACATATTAATATGTGTTTTAACACTAGCTCTATTATTATATCAATAAAATAAATATAAAAAATAGATATAATGTATTAAATAGAATATATATATTTATTAATATATTAATTTTAATGTA